ACTTAGCCCGAGGTCGACCTCCTGTAACGGGTCTTGAGCTTCAATTGATTTTTCAGTTTCTTTTATGGGTGACTCTTCAAATTCAAGGATTCCGTCGACAACCTCTGCGGATTGTTCTGCTAGTTCGGCCCGATAGGCCGAATACCTCTCAGTGAGGTCTTTTGACAATATAAGGTTCTCCATAGACAACCTCATTTAATTGTGCTGTCAGTTGATCTTTGGGACCCATTCAACGATCCCTTTTGTCGAAACGGCAGAATGCAATACTATTGGGGTCAACGAGAGGTGGCTTACTGATGGATATACTGTCTTCCAACGCTAATTGACGAATTGGAGATGCATGTGCATATGTTACCTGTGATTTGGTGTTTGCTTTGACGTACTCTACCTTATCCCCATTCCAAAATGCTAGCATCTGATAGAGGGTTGATGGTACACATTGATTACCATGGATCCAATCTCGGCCCAATAATAAATTGTAAGATCCATCTGCATCAACCACGCAAAAGGAGGTTCTGGAAGTTTTGGTACCCACGGTTAAGTCGGCTATGAAAATACCTTTAACTTCAGAGATTTCTCCAGTAAAGTCGGACAATTGAATGTTCGACGGAATAATCTCCTCATCTCGTCTTCCCAGTCTCTTGTAGAAACGATATGAGATAAGGTTCAGTGTGGATCCCCCGTCTACCAATACTCTAGATACCGGTCGACCATTAACTTTTGCGTTGATATTCAGAGCCCTTAAATGATTTGAACCCTTGGGTGGAGGTTTTTCAAATTCCACTACCTCCTCAATGTCAAAGTGGAATTCTGTTTTTTCTTTTTCTTCCATTGTACCCTCTGCCGGATGATTTAATTCCATCGTCATTACTCGAAGGTTCGATGGAAGACATACTCGAACCATACAAGAACTCAACGATGAGATTGATCTTGACAATTGTTGTGGTTCGTACCGCGCAGACTCAATATCTTATTTTGGTGAAGATTGCTGAGGTCGACAAGATGTCGACGCTTGAATTCCTGATTTTCGTTTCCAGACTAAATTCCCACGCTTAGAATTTTTCGACCTGGCTTTTTGCTCAGCAATCAAGACTGGTTTCACCTGCTTGATGTGAACTTGATTTACTCGTTGTTGAAGCTGATATTCTTTTCTTTTCCGCAACATTCTCCTTTTTTGAGTCCGCGTTAGGTTTGAACTGTGATTTCGAGTTTGGCTGGCCTCATACCATTGACCTACAAGTGGGTCTCTTGGCACCTTCAGAGTTCGTCGATATAGTAGATGTGAGTCTGTGTGAAGATCTTCCCGATCAGGGAAATCAGGACCCCATCCACTTGGCTCGATCTTCGCATTGTATGAAGGTGGTTAAGCATAACTTACATAATAATCATATTTACCACTGGGTTCTCCCAAGGTATCAATAGTCGGATCACCTTCTTCGTACCTTTGCTTAAATGACTTAATAGCCTTATTATGACCTCGACGACCTCTATGATGATTAGCACCCTTAGAAGGTGTTCGTCCATCATACGAATCAATGAGTGCCAAATCACGAAATTCATCGACAATTTTACTAGGCGGACGTCTTTGATTTCTAGAGTAATGTTTCTCTTGTTCCAGAAATCGTTCACACTTTTCGCAAAGACGACGTGGCTGATGCCCCCTGGTCTTTGTTTTTAATGACACCATCCCTGCCATTACGGGAAAAGGATCGATATCAACTTCCATTGGGGACTTGCCTTTGTCTTCAGAGAATTTTATCTTCCCCTGTTTAATAGCTTCCTGGACGTTTCTTTTAAATACGAGGCAGTCATTAGTGGCATGGCTCCATGAATGATGCCACTTGCAATATTTCTTTCCGGCTAATTCTTCTTTGGTGGGTAAAACCTGACCTTCCGTCAGCCTAATATGTCCGTCAGCTAATAATAAGTCAAATATTTCCTCTGTCTTGTTGATGTCGAAAGAATAAAAAACGGGTTCCTTAGCCTTTGACATGAGGTTAGATTTTTCTCAAACTCTTGTTGGTTTTAGAGCTTTGCAGATGTACGGCTTATCAATCACCATTTTCGCGAGAGCCATATCTGCTATATCTATTGATTCGGTTTCATCTTCGCTCTCATCAGCATCGGCCCAACGAACTTCACCCCGTCGACCATACCTTTTGTCTTTTTCCTGGAGGAGACTTTCATGCTTAGTAGCTATGGTTGACAACTGGAACAGATCTGAATATGGTTGTCCAACCATTCTCTCTCGGATTTCAAACTTTAATCCATTAAAAGCGAGGTCCGCAAAAGTCACTAAACACTTATTTCTTGCCCTCTTAAATTTGGAAATGAACTGATCGACAGACTCATTAGCTAATTGTTTCATGGTTGAGAGATCAGCTACAGACAAATCCGGCACGGCCCTTTGAAATTGACAATGAAATAACCTTTCCATTTGTTCCCATGATGTAACCAAATTCGCAGGTAAAGCAGTATACCATGTAAAAGCGATTTTCGACAAGGACAAAGGAAATAACCTCAATTTCCAATAATCAGCGTGAGTCGCATCACCACATTGAGCCAGAAAACGATTAACATGTTCAAAAGTGGACTGGTCTTCCTCTCCAGTGAACAATGTAAATTATGGCATTTTAAAACCTCTTGGATATGGTATTGTATACATCCAATCATGATATGGTTTCCTATAAATGTTTTGGAGGTATCTCGCATCATAGCCATATCCCCTCATTACAGGGTCCACTACTAATTGATTTCGTGCTAGACCAGCGACGGGCACAGGAGCTACCACATAATTAAGTTGCAATGGCGGATTCAGATTGTGATGAGGTAATTGGTAGAGCGGCTGCTGTGGTAACTGTGGCTGCTGTTGGGGTGGCACGTTGTGAGCAACTAGAGGTGGGTTAACCGGTAGGTTTAACTATGCTGGCAATGGTTGCTGGACTTGAACATTTGGACCCATAGGGGGTGGAAAATGCTGATTCACGTTAGGTGCCACAGGCTGGGGCGCCTGACGTTGTGGTTGGATGTTTATCTGTTGGATTTGTTCTTGCCTCCTAGGGAATGGTGCTATAAGATTCTGAGCATCTAGGACTACCGGTAGAGGACTTACCTGGATAGCAGATGGGCCTTGTATCTAAGTAACCTGATGTCCTCTTTGGAGGTTTTCGTCTATCACCGACTGTCGAGCAATTACTCCATTCGGGTCTGCGCTAGCATGCAGTAAACCTTCGCTGGTTGCTATTGGCAAGGTTTCACCCCTTGGTAATATACGAATGGGTGGGATTGTAGAAGTAGTTTGCATCACTGTTCCAAACTGTATAGCAGGACCCCCCAATGCTGATGGGGACCCTGTTCTCAGTTGAGTTGGTGCAATGGACCCTCCACGTTGACCTTGTGTGCATTCATGATAAGTGTTAATGATCAAAGGCCTAACCACTTCAGTCATACGCCTTACCACATAATCAGCGAGCTCGTTATGAGTTTCCTCAATAGTTCGCCTCATGGTAGAAAGCGCAACTGGTGTGAGTTCAGTTTGCCTTCTTTCGTCAACATGCTGCCTCGATATGTCGGCGACCTCTTCTCGAGACTGGTTCGCCACCTCGGTATGAAGAAATTGGGCAGATGATGTCTCAGCACGGTTATTATCTTCCGCTATCGATACAGCGTGCTCGTCAGTAGTATTATCCGAGTTGGTTCTACTCTGGGTGCGTGGCATAGCACTCTCTCGACTTAACTCAATAGTGGTCCCACCGAGCGTGCCAAAAAGATGTTTCGCCGGTTTGTTACTCCGTCGAAAAATCTTTCACCGAACGCTGCGTTTCAGATTTTATTAGAGGAGACTAGGGTCTTGAGTCAAGCTTGGACAGAGAATGTCAAATGCGTTTATTAATCCAATGTAGATCTTACACCCTGACTCGATATGATGTCGAACTCGACAATACTAACCATGAAACGACAACTTGCAAATGTTGAAATTAAGCTATGCCGGAATTTAATCGACGACACAACTTCAAAGTACGTCAGAATTTAATCAATGACGTAACTTGAATGAATACGGCTGAAATCTAATCAACAGTTATATTCCAAACACAGCGCCGGAATTTAATCGACGACACTGAGCTAGTGGCTCAACACTGGAATTTAATCAACAATGCTGAACCTGATAAAGATCCTCGTCGGAATTGAATCTACGACACAGAATCTGAAGATTATGACTAATACTACTCCTAATGTGCTTAAAGATAAAGGCTAAATAAAGGATGTATTGTGTTGTTGAAGAAGGGTCCTTTCTGCGTTAGAAGGCCTTGCGTATTTATAGAACAGCTTGACAACCGTTCCTTGAAAGTCGTTTTCCACTTCCTTACGTTTCGTGCTTTAAATGTTTCCTGACTTGTCGATATTGCTTACGCTCATTGGGCTTCACGTAGTAGCTAATTTTCTTCGACGTGTCATTTTATTTTTTGTTATCCTTGACGCCCACGGTCGTGTCTTTACCTTTTGACACGTGTAAATGAATTTTTCACCACGTATTATCATGATTTTGCGCAAAACTCGCAATTCTGAACTTTGTCGATGTCACGTGCAAAGCTCGTGATCTGGGATTCGTCACGTGCAAGGCTTAGATTTGTCAACATCACGTGCAAAGCTCGTGATTTTAAACTTGTCGACACTTTTATGACGTATCCTGTCGACAACTGCCTCTGGGCCTGACTTACGGCCTTTCTCATATTTTTACCATGTAGGCCGTACTTTATATCTTCTGTTACTTGTGGATGGCCCATTCCCATCAGAGATAATTTTGGGTGTCAACACTAATTATCTTTCGCAATAGCATTCGTTACAAATACGGGGAAATCGAATGTCATTTATTACAAACTTACAAATTCGAAAGTAAGAATAATGCCCTCCTCGGTTCCTTGATGCCCGATCGAGCGAGTTAAGAGGATTCAACCATGCCAATGCTAGTAAGTAGTTACTATATAAACAAAAATGAACGAGCCGTGCATAGCGATAAGCGAGCGAGCGAGCTCAGACATTTTTTTTTATACATTTTGGAGATGAGTCGAACTCGACCGAGCCGCCGCCGCCGCCGCCGCGCGATGGAGTAGCACCGCCGGCAAAAACCCTCGGCAGAATGCGAGTGGACACCGCCAAGGAGTAGCCAGAAAGTCACAGCAAGAAGCTTCTCACTCTCTCTCTCCCTCTCCTTCCTTCCTTCCTCGCTTCCATTTGGTTCATCTCGGGAGCGCGCTGGAGGTGAAGGTACCGCTCGATCCTTTCGTGGTTATCTGCGCAATGTGTTCTTCGAGTGTTGATTGCGGAGCGTGGAGCGAATGCCTTCGATTTTGTGCTCGTTGTTTCGAGCTTCTGAGTTTCCGAGCCGGTGAATTTGGGGGTGGAAGTCGGTTTAGGTCTGTTGATGGAGTTTTTCCAGTTTTCCTGAACCAGCCAAGTTCAGTTTTCGTTCAATCTTCTCGCGGGTCTGTCTAGTTTACCGATGGTTTTTCGAGTTTTTTTTGTTTATTCCTATTTTTGTCTTGGATGATACGTACAGGTTCGCTAGGGATCTCTCGGTTCCGAGGGTTTTGAGGTCGTAGCTGCTTTGTTGTTGGGGAAAGTTCGTAGCTTTTTGCGTAGAAAAGGTGCTCGGGTGGTGAAAAGACGACGGGAAGTGGGTACGGGCACCGGGCATTTTCCCATTGTGTGGCGAGGGAAACGGATTGGCGGTGAGCTTTTTAGGTTTTGGAGGGTTTGAAGAAATGCAGGGAGGTGCGGGTAATCACTCGGTTCCTCAAGCTGCGTCGTTCGATAAGACGAGGGTATTGGATGTGAAGCCTCTACGGGTTCTGAAACCCTGCTTTACCCCTTTCAGTGAAAACCCTCCCCCGTTCTCCGTCCGTCCGGGCGGCCCGGTTCCTCCTGGGACATTTCCGTTTTACCCATTCGGTGTTCCGCCAGAATTTCAGACCTCGCAGGAAAGCGCCGAGAGGCAAGCTCCGGTTGCTCCGACTCCACTCAGGTCATTCAGGACTCCCGGACAAGGGATAAATGTTGAGGCGCCCAGAGAAGACAAGGCTGGTGATAGTCGAAATGGTGACAATTTTGATCTGCGTCCTTCGAGATCTTCTCGAAAGACAGGGAAGAAGAGCAAAGAGTCAGAGTTTTGGGTAGTGGATGGTGAAGGTAATGGTGCACCTAATTATGTGGTTCCTATCAATTCGATCCAACGCGAGGATGGTGACAGTAATGTGGTTGATTACGTGCTGATGACATTTGATGGGATTCGGAGGAGGCTTAGCCAATTAGAAGACTCAAAGGAAGGGCAGACTGGAGGGATCAAGCGTGCTGATCTGAAAGCTGGGAATATGTTGATGAGCAAAGGGTTTAGGACAAATATGAGGAGAAGAATTGGAACCATCCCTGGAGTTGAAGTCGGTGACATATTCTTTTTCCGGATGGAAATGTGTGTCGTGGGACTACATGCTCCATCGATGGCTGGGATTGATTACTTGAATGTAAAAGGTGATCATCAAGAAGAATCAGTAGCATTAAGCATTGTTTCCTCTGGGTCCTACGAAGATGATGTAGGCGATAAGGATGTTTTGATTTATAGTGGGCAGGGTGGGGTATCTGCCAAGAAAGATAAGGAAGCTTCTGATCAGAAGCTTGAGCGGGGTAATCTTGCTCTTGAGAGAAGTTTGCGTCGTGCCAACGAGGTTAGAGTCATTCGCGGCATGAAAGACGTTACAAGTCCCAATGGCAAGGTGTATCTATATGATGGGCTTTACAGAGTACAAGAGTCGTGGATGGACAAGGGTAAATCTGGTGCTAGCATTTTCAAATACAAGTTGATGAGGATTCCTGGGCAACCAGATGCATTTGCTGTTTGGAAATCGATTGAAAGGTGCAAGGAAGTTATCTCTACTCGCCCCGGACTGATACTTTCTGATTTGACTTCTGGGTCTGAGCAAGTGCCCGTTTCACTTGTGAATGAAGTTGACAGTGAGAGAGGACCTGCTTATTTTAATTACTTCTATGACCTAAGATACTTCAAACCTTACAACTTATCCGATACTTCTCATGGCTGCGACTGCAGCGATGCATGTAAACCGGGTGATCTCAACTGCTCCTGCATTCAGAAAAATGGGGGTGATTTTCCTTATACCGGAACTGGGGTTCTCGTGAGTCGGAAGCCACTTATACATGAATGTGGTCCATCTTGCCGATGCTCTCCGAACTGCAAAAACCGAGTCTCGCAAAGTGGTCTGAAACTTCACTTAGAGGTGTTCAAGACGAAAGATCGGGGTTGGGGCCTTCGATCTTGGGATCCTATTCGAGCCGGTAGTTTTATATGTCACTATGCAGGTGATGTCATAGACGGAACTAGACTGAAGCATAAATTAGAGCAAGGTGAAAGTGATGAACATGTTTTTGACACAAGCCGTGTTTATGAGTCATTCAAGTGGAATTATGAATCTGGATTGTTGGCAGAAGAATGTTCAGATGACTCTTCAGAGGAGTACAGTATTCCGCACCCTTTGATTATTACTGCTAAGAACTTTGGAAATGTGGCCCGATTTATGAACCATAGTTGCAATCCAAGTGTCTTCTGGCAACCAGTCTTTTGTCAGCATAATAAAGAGTGCTATATGCGTATTGCCTTTTACGCAAAAAGGCACATTCCTCCAATGACAGAGTTAACTTATGACTATGGGTTTCTGCCTGATGATCGTGATATTTACATCACAAGGTATAGGAAGAAGAAATGCTTGTGTGGAACTTCAAAGTGCCGGGGTTATTTTGGCTTGTAGTGGAGAAGCATAGGGGTGGCAAATCATGGACTTAGAAGGTTAGGAAATTCTGCTTGCCTATCTGTTTCCTAAGTCCTGCTATTTTATACCCACAGCATGTTCAACTCTTAGTTTCTTATGTCATTTTTTTCGTACTCATTACGTGCCATTGGAAGTTGGAACATCTCCTCAATATCTTTTTGGATTTTAAGGGAGTAAATCCTCCAACCAATGTCTGGCTTTCTTACTCGACTAGATTTTAGTCACTTTCAAATCGCTTTCTTGCTGTATCTATTTTGGACATGTAAAAACAAGTGGCCAGAGTTGTCTAAAATGATGCTTAGATATATCTTTCATTTACTGTTTCAGTTGTCCATGGCTGATAAGTTGGCGCTGTTTTTGTGAGCACAAGTTGAACACTTAACGTGGACCACTATCTCCATTAATAGTTATTAAAATCACATAATGGGTTTACAGTTAGTCTGAATCTTTTTGTTATTCATATGAGACTAACACTTGGCTGTGGCCTTCAAGTTCTTTCTCCTGTAGTATCTCAGTAGTTTTGACTTTGACAAACTGGCAAATCTGTTATGATGGTGTCTTCATCCGGTATATCGTGGCACAGTATTTGTTTTGGCTTGTAAGACAGTTGAGATTGACTATTTATGTGTGTCGATTTTAGTTGAGAGAGCTGAACGCATGTGGACCAAGATTCGTCAGGATAAGGAGTTCTAGATGTGGTGCATCATGACTCACAAGCACTGAACATAAATTTAAATAGAACTGTCTGAAGATGGGATTAATTTCATAATCTGTGGTATAAACAATCCCCCTTACCAAAAAAAAACAATCCATGGTGTATCTATGCTCGTCTAAGCTGAAATTTATTCATTTGCAATGAGGGGCACTCAGCAGAAGTAGGAAGGAAGATGGATATTGCACGGTAGCTGTTGGCTTTAATGCTTTCAATGTAATCGGGAGACGTTATGGTTTGACACTTTCACAGTAGATGGAAAGATAGATGCTGATGGAGCTTTGCCCATCAGTGAAGGATCGGTTACGTGGGAGGTGAGATTGCTGGGATTTGCGGATGCTGTTGGCATGGGAAGGTGGAATCTCACAAATGTTAGTTGGTCCAGATAGAGGGGCCCAATAGCAAATTAAACATAATGCTTTCTATCTTGGAGAAAAATACGTGGAGGCAAGTAATACTCAGCAACCTGTAGACATTTACCATGATTATTCCCTGATCATCTGCTGAGAGTTCCTATTAGAGATATGATGACTGGCCTTGTAATTCTAGTCAGATGATAAACAAGAACGTCCAAAATCAGATTTCTTTCATCATTTTCGATGATGAATTGCCTTAGGGTTGGCCAAAAATAATGGGGCAGAGGCACTGCCTTCTATAAAGCTATCAGAAAGCTATTTTTGCTGCTTGGTCTTTTCCTTTTGCATTCTTTACTCAATAAAGTCCACCACTGTGCAATCTGAGAGTGTAAACTTGGTTTGATTTTACTTGCTTCATAACTCCAAAATTCTTCATGCTTCACTTTATATGGCATATAATTTCCTGTGACCAATACACCATCTTCCATGCTGAAAAAAATTGCAAATAGCTGCAGGGTTCTCCTTCTGGTGCGCGACCTTGGAAAGCCTGCATGTTTTGATGAAGCTTTACTGGGTAAGGCAAGCTGTTGTGGTCATCTAAATGTAAGGCCAGGTCAGATGTGGAAGCAGCTTAAATGCCTGGTCTGTTGCTCTTTCCAGCTTTGTGGATATTAGTAAATAAGTAGATCCAGTATATTAGTGGGACTTGATTAGTTGGCACCTTCAGTTTTAGGATCATCAATGTACATTTGCTCATCAAATTTCCTTTTCCTTCCTTTTTAGGTAGCACATTCGCGATATGTCAAATTAGTTTACTTGCTTTCACTTTGATCTTCATTATGGTTGGATTAGAAGCTTCCTCAGATTAATCCAGGGGTTATGTATTAGTCTCACCCTTTTGAATGGTTCTTGATAATGTTCCAAGAAAGCTAAACACTATACCAATTCCATCATGGCATAGCGTGCCTATCTGTGACGTCCCATCCAGAGCGACAAGTTACTGAGACACCTCCAGCGAGCCAAGTAGGCGAAAGCTTAAAAGATACCAAGCTATGGTGATGAGAGCTTGCAATTCGCAAATCCATCATGCTCATGAAATATCGCCTTATTCGAACCATCCCAATATCTTCGACTGCACTATGGTATTTGGAGAAAAGTGGCTGGCTAATATATCAAACCAATCACTCTCCCATTGGCAAGTCTACCTACAGAGAACGTGGTTGGGGATTTCTGTATGAAACACGTTGCTCTGCTTTAGAAAAGGAACAGAGAGAACGAGTTTGGTCAGGAAGCAAAAACTAAAAGAAGGTATTCACCGAGTGAATGATGGCCAACTTAACTGAGGAAGCAAACTTAAAACACTTCGAGTCACATCAAACTTTTTAGTTTGCTGCCCCGAGCGAGAGCATCAAGATGAACAACACACGTGATAAATTCGAGGACCAATGATTGTGCCCTGAAAAGAGATGGAGAAATTATTGGCACCAACTCGCAATTGTCCCATTTCGAGTCCGACCCTCAAATGCATGAAGAGCTGCCACGCAACCCCTCTCTAAGTCCCCAGCTTTCATGCTTTCCATTGACTTTTGAATCCCCCCCACCATGAAAATTCTCATTGCTCATAAGAAATATGGTGATCGAAAGCAAGGATCAACACCCAATAGTTATAATCGTAGTTCTTCAATCGTGGCTAGATCCAATTGAATCAAACCTGAGACTATAAAACGGGGACCCAAAAGCATTTCTCTGTCTAAGTGGTGTGCCCTATACTTCTTTATTCCTTTTGCGCGTGTGCGATACTTGTGTTCCATTTGATGTCTCCGCACTCTACTCAATAATTTCGCAATTGGTCCTACTCTTGAACATTTTCAAGCGCATATTATGTAATATTTACGTCATTTGACATATCGACTTCGTTCACCGAATTGATAAATCGTAATTGTTCTGACATTATACATGTCAACTGTTACTCGATTGGTGGTAACTCGTGCCAATATGTCAAGAGGACGTATAATGAAGAAGCTACAGTGTGTATCTTTTAGATGATCCCTCGGTCCAACAAGAAGCTTATAGGAAGATGATTAATCATTGACGATGCATATGCAAAAGCAAGGGAAAATTACCAAAAAAGTCCTAAACTTTTTGCAGTTGTGCCAATTCAATCCTAAACCTTTTTTTTGCTAATTCAGTCCTAAACCTTTTGCAAACCAGCCAATTCAGTCCTTTTGGCCGGCCGGCGCTGACGTGGCCGCCGGCCGGCTGACGGGCCGCCGACCGGCGTCCACGTGGCAATATTTTAATATTTTTATTATTATTTTCGAATTTTTTTCCTTTTTTCTTTTTTTTTTCTTTTCCTTCTCCCCCTGGCCTGTCCGGCCAGGGGGGAGGCTCGCCGGCGAGGGCCCAGCTCCGGCGAGGCGGAGCTCACCATGGCAGGGCGAGCTCCGCCTCGCCAAATCTGGGCGAGGCGGAGCTCGCCCGGCCAAGGTGAGCTCGCCTCGCCGTAGCCGGGCGAGCTTGCCATGGCCGGGCGAGCTCGCCTGGCCCGGATCTGGCGAGGCGGAGCTCGCCTTGGCCGGGCGAGCTCCGCCCTCGCCCGGATCCGGCAAGGCGAAGCTCGCCATGGTCGGGCGAGGCTCGCCAAATCTAGCGAGCGGAGTTCGCCCGCCATGGCGAGCTCCGCTCGCGAGGCCGGGCGAGGCGGAGCTCGCCCGGCCAAGGCGAGCTCCGCCTCGCCGATCTGGCGAGGCGGAGTTCGCCCCATGGCGAGCTCCGCCTCGCCGGAGCTAGGCGAGGCGGAGCTCGCCTCGCCCGATCCGGGCGAGGAGGAGCTCGCCCGGCTCGGCGAGCGGAGCTCGCCATGGCGTGGCGAGCTCCGCCTCGCCCAGATCTGCGAGGCGGAGCTCGCCTTGCCATGGCGAGCTCCGCCTCGCCGGAGCTGGGCGAGCTCAGCCCAGCGGCGGCGAGGGCCCAGCTCGCCTCGCCGGAGCTGGGCCCTCGCCGGCGAGCCTCCCCCCTGGCCGGACAGGCCAGGGGGGAGAAGGAAAAGAAAAAAGAAAAAAGGAAAAAAAATTCGAAAATAAAAAAAAGTATTAAAATATTACCACGTGGACGCCGGCCGGCGGCCACGTCAGCACCGGCCGGCCAAAAGGACTGAATTGGCTGGTTTGCAAAAGGTTTAGGATTGAATTGGCCAAAAAAAAAGATTTGGACTGAATTGGCACAATTACAAAAGGTTTAGGACTTTTTTGGTAATTTTCCCGCGAACGCAACCCACGTGGCTGTCCTAAGTTTGAAGGAAGGCCAAAAGGGAGGGTCCATCATGTGAATGCTTCTTTTTCCCTTTCTATAGGAATGTGAATGTTATTCATCAGCACACGACAAAGCATAAGAGACCATCTCTCATCTATGTCAAACTTGGGAGTTTGGAAAGAAAGAAAAAGAAAATAAATGATCCCAAATGCATCAAATTGAAATTCACAATTTATCAATTCGGTCGAAACCGAAAACCTTAATTTACGAGAAGGTATTGACACATTCGATGTATGAATAATAATATCATGATTCTTTCGTCACTCGCTTATTGTTTCCCTCCCTAACACATGTAACTAGTTTGAATGAGTTGTCTTTGATCAACAACTCTATGACCAAGGCAATGCGGGCAAAGAAAACAAAGTTCGGTAATCCCCCAAATATAATGGGAATAGAAAAACGAATGGGGCTCTTTGGAAAGTCATGAGGTTTTGGCAATTCCAGCTCCGATGGCCCCCGACAACTGGGGCAACCAGCATGTGATCATCCCTGACATTTGAAGACTCTAATGATTCAAAAGAAAGAGGAGGAGGGAGAGATCAAAACCAGGTGGTCCTTACAGACTTCAACAACAATCGCATCAACTTTAAGATAAGATACAGAAGTATTCTCTTACGCGGGTGTCCTCTTCTGATCAGCCAACACTGTTTGCTCTTCTTGAAGATCTAAACCCTCTTGTTAATTCTCGACCCATCATTATTCATTTCTCCAGGAATCAGGACCACCAATTTCCCCAGCAAATTAAATCGACCCACCTCTCAAAACCCTAAGAAGAAAAGAAAAAAGAAACAGAAACACACATACACATACACAGAGGTGGCTGAGTTCTTGGAGCTGACACTATCGAGAAGAACCCCACATGGACCCAATTTGTCGGCATCAAATCATCGGTGCCATGTGAGAGAGAAGTGATTGTTAAGTTCGTGCTCATCATTCATATTCAATGTACTTCCCTTCACTGGCTTCCAAGCCCGTCTCTGGGTCCCTAGTTATTTCTTCCAACGGGTGGTATCATCCCATTTTCCCTTCTTGACTAGATGCTTTCACTCCTTTTTGTCAAGGGTGAGTCATAGTCAGTCAGTTTTCGCGAATCAGATTAATATTCCTAAGTGAATCCACCTCTTCAATTAAGGGTCAGTTCAAGTTATTCACGTTGGGACCAGGAGAATTCGCCGAAAAATTACTTCCTCGTATCCTAATCCGAGAAGCTGCTCTCGTTAGGAACATATAGGACTTCGACGAAATCTCGTACTTTTTCGGGAGTAAAGTTGCATTACTCCATCAAGCTCTTGAGATGAGATGGATCCTCTTTCGTACGTCGCAAGTATATATATTCATGACGCATCCATAATCATCTTTCCGGGAAGCATAACATCCAAACTCATTCTAACTATTCGAACCAGTCATTTTTCAGGAAGAAATAGCGAGACATGGACTGATGATATCCATGGAAAAGGTATGGACTGGTTTTGTCTATCGAATCAGCATAGCTGAATAAAACCCACCAAGCATTTTCAAATCTAAAAACAACACTTTGCAGAGTGCAAGATTTCACGTGTTGGGGGTGGACTTTATCGAGTGAAGTCATTTTATAGTGCAACTTGTGGGAAGAATGTTTATTAAGGATGCGTTTATTTCATGGAAAACGTAACGTTTTTGGAAAATATTTTCTAAAAAATCATTTTCCAGGAAAATAGTTAATTTTCTTTTGTTTGGTAATATGTGATCGAAAACATTTTCTGGTGTTTGGATTTCATTTGAAAAATAATTTCAATCCCATGATTTTATCTCAGGCAAAAAAATAATTTTCGAATTTTTTAATATTTTTTTAAATTAAAAAGAAAAAGAAAAAAGAAATAAAATATTAAAATATTAAAAAAGTCAAGATAAGCAATTTGGGAAAGTGTTTTCACTTTCTTAGATTATGGAATTTACTTTCCTAATTTTATACATGAATGTTTTCATTGACCGAAAAGTGTTTTTAGTTGACTAATCATTTTCGGCAAACCAAACCGGTGAAAATCTGGAAAACGGATTCCCGGAAAACGCTTTCCCTTAAACAAATGCATCCTAAGTCATTGATCATTGGGCTACCATAACTAGTCGAGGTTGGATCTGTATGATGTTGAAGTTGACAAAAAGAATGGGCCAGAGATTTTTATTTCGTTCCCTCCTTGTCATAAGTGGAAATGTTGCATACGGAACTATATTATAGAAGTTCCATTATTCATGCACCTAACTCTATCCCTAGTTACCTCAGCATCATAATGTGGGGCAACCTCCACTCAACCCCATAAGACTTGCAGATAAAAAGGATCATCCAATATGGTAGCAGAGCAAGTTTTTCTATGCTCTCTCGTCGCTATTGTTATTGTCCCTCCATCTAGGGATGAGCATCATTTTAAGGGACCTAAGAACTTAACTGGTGGAAACATGTAGGTTCTAAGTTTCAAGATATACATGGTAGGTTCCAGAGTTTCAAAAATTGGAGAACCTGTTTTGACAAGTAGGTTTCAAAAAATGGGTAGGTTCCAGGTTCTAGGTGGAACCTGGAACTTTAAACGAGTTTTTTGTGTTTTTT